CTAGAATATTTAAAATTTTAGCAAAATAATTCAGTTTTCCAATTTTGTGTTAGTCGAGCTCGATACCAGCAGAAGATAAGCTAATATAGTTTTTGCTTTTTGCTCATTGCTGCTTCTGCGTTCGCTTTCTGCGTTCGCTGATTTTGCATTCGTTAAGTAATTTTAAATGAGTGTTGTTGATTCGCAATTTGACGGAATATTTGTGCTCGTGATTTTTTTCCTGACAAGTTTTTTTAAGTTTTTTGATAAAGAAGTAAGTTTTTCTTAAGGAAATAAGAAATAGATATACGTGGGTTGGGTTCTTATTCACTCCAGTTTTCACTATAAAAATCAAAGTCTTTTATATGATTTTCTACCAGTTTCTGGTAAACTGAAATCAAACAGCTTGAAATTAACATTATACCATTGAAAGTCAATTCTTTGAGAGGAAACTGAAAGCAAATGATAAAACGTTTCAACCTTCATTTCAACTTCATCCGCAACGCTGTGAGTTTTGGATTTCAAGCCAGATCAAAAAAAGTTTTCGGCCCTAATAAATTTTTACGGGTTTTTGAAAAAATTGGTCTGATCAATTTTTACCCAAAACTAACTGAAGTAACCGGAAATAGTAAAAAAAAACCATGTGTCTCAGCCGCGTTTTAAGTAGCTCAAATTTATTTTCAGTGCTCAGACAACTATATTCTAGTTGAAATTAAGAAGCTTTTTTTTGGGTAGCTCAAATTAATTACCGCTAGCGCTCAAAACATCAGCTTATGGGCAAGATAATTAGCTGTTGTAACTTTTCACTATACCAAAAAATGTGCAATAAAATTTTGCCTCAAAAGCGTAAGCGACTATTGAAATGACTCCAAAAACTACTGTGGCAATCAGTTTGCTTTTGTTAATACATTTCTTGACGCATCATATTATCTCATTTTGTACTTATCAAAGTGTGTGTTGTGTTTGTACAAATTATATTTAGGAAACTTTTTTAAGTGATTTGTTTCCGATTGTTATTAAATGGCCGAGAGAATTTTCAAGACTTCGCTTCGATACTAGCAGTCCACATTTTACATGAAATAAGAAGTAGACGTGGTCGCGGAGACTTTTTTATTCACACTACTTTTTGTGATTGAAACCAAAATTTTTTTGACAAACATATATATTGTTAATTTTATGTTTGAGGTTAAGGAGTACATGCTGTATGAAATAAGTACATAAATAAAAAAGAGTAATTCATTCGAGACTGGCTTCTAAACAATATTATATAATCAATTTTAATATAATGTGAGAGTTATATAATTTTCATATAAAGATCAGACTTAAAAACCCAATTATTTTTCTAGGAGGTACTTGGTCATTTAAATGTACTAATTATTTATTATATTTGGACAATAAGTTGTGTTTGGACTTTATGTGTCATTCTCAAGTTTTTTAGTAAACTATTCAATTCTTGGCACATTTTCTAGCTGATGATTAATTTCCACAAACCTGGCCAGACTTTTATTTTTTGATTTGCTGTTTAACGTATTTTTCTGTGTTTGCATTTTTTTCTTGCTTTCTTCAGTTGAAGGATTTGTGTTTTTCAGTAAAAAGATCAAACGTTTCAGCAAACAAAATTTTGCAGCAATTTTTTCTGAAAATTATAATGTTTTTCAAAAGTAGACCACGACATCTGTCAGTTTTTTTCTCACAAAACTAAATTTTACTCTCCAGTTCATTTGATGATTCAAACGATCAATTTTTTTGTTGTAATCTACTGAAAAAAAATCCATTATGTGTACTAGAAACTTATTCCATCAATTTCATGGGGATTAAAATGATCAGTTCGGCCAAATTCTGGGTTTTATTTAAGCGCACATGTTGTGTATATAAAGCTGAAAGCGTAACGAGTTTGGTTTATGCCTACTAAGTTGCTCCCAGCTAAAATCTGTTTCAAGTTAGAATGAGACAAGCTACGTGGTCATAATAAATCCCCATCATCCGACTCAAACTCTAACAGTTTCGATTTCTCGTTGACAGTCTAGAATTTATAGTGTATCAAATTTTCATATAAAAAAAACTCGAGACCATTTGAAGTTCTGTTGGAACTTTCAGGGCTCAACACGAGCTATTTTCATTCTATTTTAACTTGGTCCTAATTTTGTATAACTAACTTGCGTTTTAAATACAGGGTTTTCTAATAGGTTGCTCAGCGTGAATTTTTCTGTAATTGATTATACCTATTACCACTTGCACCAACAAAATTGCGCCATGTTGGTAAACAAAACTGCCTTGTCTTTCAAACCGGTTTCGATTTTTTTAGTAGAATTTTTACGGTACAAAATTCATTCTCATGTCAGTTCTCTCCAAAACTCTCACCTTGCTGCAAAAATCATAATTGTCCCCTATCTTAGGTCCAGCCTGAACTCATTTGCTGCAAACTTAATCAGGGCAGTGTATTTGTATATAGTATGGTTTCGTTCCTTGTATAGCTGTCTCGTCTCTTCTGCCATTTACTCCAAACGGTTCTTTGGCTCTTTTCCCACCCCGAGCACAAATATTCCGTTACTTTTGTTACGAAAGTCGGAACAATAATATAAAACTGCTCCACTGTTGTCATTATGCAATGAAACTTGCATGATGAAGAAACTACAAAAATTGTAAATAGAATCGTTCGTCATGCCGTACAACTTAACATCTCGCGTTTAGCCGTAATAAAATGTAAAACTAGTTTAAAAGCACAAAATTTTAAGTTTGGGATGGAAAACAGCCACAAAAATTTGCTGCTCAACCACTTTACATAAGCGTCATCTTTATGGTGTAGCGAGGGGTTTTGGAACACAAAGGTTTCTCGATACTTAATTAGTCTGCCTGCCAATTTTTTTTAACAATTGGCTAACGTGAACAAAAAAACTATTCTTAAAATTTTGCATGTGAATAGAGAATGAAAAAGAGCCAAATTCAATGATTAAACTTTACAAGTGGGGTGAAGAGCTAAATTATGTATCTTTTAATTTTCCGTACCACCTGAACGGTTGTTTGTTTGCTCCCGCCCCTATGCGCAAAATGTTTGAACAAAACGTTTGTTTTTTTTTGTCGGATTGTTATGAAATCTGATTATTCAGGACATAGCAAACAAAATTGGTTCTCGTTCGAGCATTGTAAATCACTCGTTATCATGAAACTGATGACTGAAGATTTTGTTTTTGATATTATATTTTCGGTCAACTGGCCCTAAAATTCTTTTTGGCGTTTTCCATTCGCCCACTTTGAAATTTTTTCTTTGGATTAATGAAACCGTCAAAAAAAGATTTTTGACGTTTTCAATTGCAACAAAAAGTGTCAACGTGAACAAAAGAACAAGTTATACAAATTTTAAGGGGGGCGCGCGTCAAAAAAAATTTTTAGTTCCTATGAAAACTTTCTAAAATGATTATCCTAAAAACATTTTTTTATTTGGCCTGTGTTTTCAAAAACTAGCGTGCGCCGCATAAAAGGTCAAATTATGGTCATTTACCATCCCCCTCATATCAAATTTTCTATTTTTAAAATTGTTTTACGTGTTATTATGACTGAATGCGTGATGTTACGATGTGCAGTATGACAAACGAATGTGTTACATTAAATAATTTGTTCGCCGTAAATTTCATTAGATTATGACCACTTAAAATAATTATCAAAATTGAAATTGAAATGAAGGAGGAGAGCGGAAAAAGGCCCTGTATAATGGTGATTGAGGAGAACTTAGAAAAATTATTTGGTCGATCTAAACAAAAAGTTAAAATTCGCCTGAGCATATAACCCTGCACGATCATAAGGTTCTTTTCCAGTTCCGTCTTTGATTTTTTTAAATTCAACTCATAGAAGTCTTTTTAAAATGTCTCTTGGTGTTCTTATTTGGGCTCTTTCCCCCCCCCCCCACACATGCAAATTTTGATCTTTCAAACAAGACTGCTCGTATCAGGGCAAAGCCCTAAATGTTCCGAGACTGCTTTTGAAGGTTTATGGAGCAGCAGTAATAACATAAAAACATTATATGAAATAAAATAAAATGAATTTTTTTTTCTAAAATTTGAAATATTTATGAAAATCATCCCCCCACACGGCATATATAGTACAAAACGATAGTTTTCGTTCCTTGTAACACATCATTTATGGCAAATAAGCTTCATTCAACCAATTTGAAACGATTTATAAGACGGATTAAATCTCCGCTGACGCGTTAATAGCGCGAATTATATCGCGCGTTAATTGTCCCAAATTGGTCAAAATGGCAATTTTTAAACCCTCATAACTTTACCAAAAATCATCACAGGTGATTCAAATTTAAGCTCAGGTCAACAATACCTTTCGAATGATATAAAAAAATTCAGTCAAAAATGGCTAGTAAAAAGTCGAAATTTGTCTGAAGAAAAAAAAACCCACCCCGAGCACAAATATTCCGTTACTTTCGTATCGAAAGTCGGAACAATTACTGTTCACCTTGTCCAATTGTCATGAAAATTGACATGCAGACTTAGTAGGCTAAAGACAAACATATTTGTTCTTCATAATAAACCTTGTAAAACCACTCGTTAGACCACTCGTTAGACTTATGTTGGTGTGAGGTGAGGGGGGGGGGGGGGGAGGAAAAAGAGCCCTTAATTGCAATAAAACGTGTCAGAGCGAACATAAATGAACAAAACTTTATGACATTTCTGTAATTCAAAGTGCCGTACGACCAGACCAATATTCAAACTATTTTTTGTTTGAAATGAAAAAAATGTGCTTAAACAAAATGGCGTGTCGTTTTGCAATAATACAATTAATACCACTATGTTAAATTAAATCTTTAAAACAATTTTTAAATAAATTTTTAATTCGTATTAAGGGTTTGAAGAAATTATTTTATTGATGACTTATGACTTCTTCATATGAGCAATCAGAAAAACCGCGGTTTTTCCTGCATATTTTCTTGGTACTCCTGCAAATTTTTTATTTGAAGACAGATACATCTTAAATTTCAGTACTTATCTATAAGTAAAAGAACCCGCGATATAATGAATGATTTATTTCTAGCAATCTGCGTGACAGTCCTTTTTCCAGTTTCTAGTTTTTCATATTCCGAGTTTAATTCTTTGTCGAAGAGAATAAACGGGGGGCATAAATCGCCGCCCAGGCCATTCTATGTGGTGTGGGACGGACCTAGTGGGGACTGTGGAGGTGTGATCATTTCACCCACCTGGGTGATCATACCCGCAACATGCGCCACTGACAGTAAGTAGTCAAATTATACTTAATTTGGAAACGTATTTTAAAAAGATGAATGAAAGCAATCGCTCCTTTTCCAAATTTGCCTGCGGGGGAAAAACGAAAAAGAGTCAAAATAATTGACAGTTTTCGTGGGTAATAAGTAGAAAATATGTTTGTGTTTGGGTCTTATTTTTCCTCCCTACAAAAATGTGAGCCCACAATTATGTTTGTCATAGCCTTAATAAGAACATAACAAATTTTGTAGCAGCGGATAAAGTGTATAACACATTTTTTATGAATTCGAACGTGGGGAGAGGAAAAAGAGGTTCCGCTCTTTTCCAGTTTCCCAACCCCCTCGTAAAATAGCAAAACAAATCTGTTCAAAAATTGTTCAGACGACATTTTGCTTATAATGAGTTTCCATCATGAAAAGTAATTTTAAATAGACTTTCCTGTAATGAATTTCAGAAAAAATCAAAGGGGGGAACTGGAAAAGAGCCGGAGGTTTAATTGAATAATATTTATTGCGCATATGGGTTTTCTCAGTACGCATCCCAGTCCAGCCCAATAACAAACACGATATAGCCCCACACTGTTATTTTACTATAATGGGAAAGAGATATAAGTTTGCTCAGGGGGCTATCATGGTTAAAACCCGCGCAAATTTTGAGCATTTGAAGTATAAGTTAAGATACACGTTATGTATTTAGATGGCAAAACTAAGGCGTTGAGTCGCCAAGTAGTTGTGACGGACTACTCAAAATCCAACTGGAAGACAACACAACGGAGGATTGGAATAAGAAAAGTGATCCTGCCACCAGGAGGAATGAAAGCGTACTGGGATAGAAGACCCGCTTTGATCCAACTATCCAAGTCAGTCGGTCGAAGCAAGGCTATCAAACTTTGTCTGGACGACTTTGGGGGTAGTCAAGTTGGATATTGTGGCATGGGGTTCACGGAAAACTGGAAAAAACCGAGTGTTCTTCAGGAAGTGATTGCAAAAGATGTTGGCAAAAGCGCCTGTAATAAAAAAGATTTGAATCTCAACACAATGGTGTGCCTAAAAGACCAGGGTTCTCCCAACATTGAAACCCAGGAAGACATGGGTGCGCCTGCGTACGTGATGAGAAATGGACAACCCTACTGTTTGTATGGGACCGTTGACAGTGGAGACTGGAAAAAATTTGCATATGTAAATAAAATACCCTACTATTATAAATGGATTAAAACTCATGTTAGAGATTTGGTATAAATTGATTTAAAAAATTTGGCAACAACCGAAACAAAGTTAATTTAGTATGTTCACATTCAGTCCTTTTTGACAAAGCTTATAATGAAATCGTACATAAGACCGAATGGCGAATTGACGCTCAGACAAAATTTCCCAGAAAAGACGAAAGCATGAAATGAAAACAGAGCGCTCATTAGGAACAGTTAACAACAAACTTATTACATCCAGACAAGTCAATTAGAAAATCAAACTCAAGGTCACTGCTCAAATCAAGCGTCATCCATATTTTTGTAGAATGCACGAATAGCGTTTAACTAATAACAAAAAACCATTTGAAATTCATTACGATTGATTTTAACCCAATTTTTTGGTTACAATTTTAAACAAAAATTTATCGTTAATCTTGAAAATCAAAATTTTTTCTTGATAATCAATTCTAATTGAAAATTATGAAAAAACCAAAAACTTCAATTTTTTCTTCAATTTTTTTGTATCAAATATAATAAATTGTGATGGTTTATAAAGCTTTTAAATAAAAAATTTGAATGACAAAATTACGAATCTAACCCCTCAAATTGAATGAAGCCACAAATAAATTCAAAACTACGGCAAATTCGGAAGCCTTGATAAATTGATAAGCCCTGATTGTTACCAAAAATTCTCAGATCATTTCCCACTCTCAGTAACTATTTCAGACGTTTAAAAAAAGCGATTCTTCCTTGATTTATTTTTTTTGTTATCAATTTGAGTATTTGTTATTATGATGGAAACCGACAGTGGAACTCAGCTTCAGGTTTCTGCAACCCAAGAGGTATCCGTGAGTAAAAATACGGGATTTAAAAAAGTATGTAATATGGAAACGGAACTGTTATTTTTGCGGAAAAAAGTTGAAAAACAAGAATGTGAAATTTCGGGTCTTAAACTTAAGCAGTTAAACATAGATACCAGACTGCGAGTTCAGGAAAGGTATACTAGCAAGGATAGTGTGCCTGTATGGAATCCGCCGTTCGATGCAAGGGCAGTAGATGACGTTACGGATGCGATAATTGATTTTTTCAGGACAAGTCTGAAAGTTACTATTTCTCGTGGGGGAATTAAAGCTTGTCACATGTATATGGGAAATTACGGAAATAATATGCCCACTATCATTTGCAAGTTTGTATACTTCGACGATAAGCACGCTGTATACAAGGCCAGGATGAATCTGAAACATCAGAAAAACATTTTAATTAATATTTAAGAAAGCGGCCAGTGATATGGACTTAATAACTACCACTCATAACTGCATTAATGCTGTTAAGCGAAAAAAACGAATCTACACCGACTCTCGTCATGACAACAATGAAAGGGAATCCCTTGCAAACAAAAAACCAACTCATTGATTGGATTCTGAACGGATATTGTGTGCCGCCTGTTAAACTTTGATAGAAAAAACGCAAAATGAATTGAGTTAAACTGTAAAGCATATGAACTGCTATTCTAGCCCAAAGTGGTTATGTTTGTGACAAAACATGTTGAATTTTTCTCTGTTATTATTCCCCTTAGGCGGACAATAAAATAGCAAAAGTACTAGTGACAAAAATCGATTTTAGTTTTTTTCTATTTTCTTATCATATATTTTTTTCTTTCTTAGATTTTTTTTGCGTTCCGTTTTCATATTTTTATTAACTTAGGAATTATCAGCAAACAAATAAATGATTATTCTCTAACAAGACCTTAGTTCAGTTTATGTGATTTCCGCACTGCTGTTCTAAGACCTAATAAAAAAGAACAGTCCAAGTAGTCTTCTTTTAAAAAAGAAAAACCAATAATTAGTTGGCGCGATTTCCACGCTGCTTTGTGGTTATTTAAACTAAATTATGTTTTCTTTTCTTTTAAAACAAAACTAGAATAAAACCAAAATAAAATTTATCCTGCTCTTTTAGATCCCAGAGCTTGCACGATTTCCGCGCTGCGATCTTTAATTGTAGATGCTGAAAGTGAGGAAAACAATGAAAATAAAATGGAAAAGTTCAGGAAAAAGGAAAAGAAGGAGGAGAGGGATTCGAGGGGAAATTAAAGAACCTTATACGGGTATAAAATTGAAAGCTAGTAACATTCGTATTTTTGCGAAGAAAAAGAATATTGCAGACTAGGAGGAGAAGCTACCTAGAGTTTGTGCGATTTCCGCACTGCCCTGGGTGGCTTCTGATTTCTGACAACTCATTGATCTTCACAAATTCGTTAAAATTTCAGCTAGTTAAGAAACCACGCGAAAATTATATTGTACACAGAACATATGGTTAACAGAGACATGGAGGAAACAAATTCTAAAACTTATTCAGTGTTTTTACAAAACATCAGATCACTGCCCGAAACTTTGAAGAATTCGAATTAGAATTAGAACAGTTGGCCCAACGTACAGATATCATTTGTTTAACTGAAACCTGGCTCAAAAATAACTCTGACAATGATATTTTTCAAATTCAAGGAAACCAACCCCTCTATAGTTGCGCTAGAATTAAACGAGGGGGAGATATTGGCATCTATGTTAACACTGGGTCAGATCATAGGATAATAAAACAAAAAAAAAGATAACAATATCCAAATCTTGTCAGTTCTCATAAAAACACAAACAAATCAGAAAATTGTAGTAACCTGTGTTTACATTCCACCAAATTCTCTAAACAACTCTACCTTCGAAAGCCTGCAAAATTATTTGGATGGATTAACGCTAGGGTTTGAAACTGATCACATAGTTTGTGGTGATTTCAACGTAAATTTTCTGTTAAACTCGACAAGGCCGAAAAAAATTGAGGATATTATGATAGGAAATGGCATGTTAGAAAACAAAATGAGCTGCCTCCCAACAAGAGTGACAGAACGTAGTAGCACTTTGATTGACTTATTTTCCTGTACATCATGTTTCTGAACCAAAACCATCAAAAATTCAGTGTCTGATCATTTTGATGTTAATTTTTTTTGAAATTTTATGAAAAAAGAAGTTTTTACTGAACAAACGTTTACTAGAAACTGGAACAAGTTGAAAAAAAAGATATAAGTGAGAAGTTAAGTTTTTATTTGCAACATGAGATTGGCAAATGTGTGCAGTTATGGAAACCCGAAGACCCTCAAATGTCTTCTAGGATTTTATAAATTCAATCTTTAGATCTTTATGAAGGCAGTTGATACTTTTTTTACAAAGCGTTTACTAGTGCAATCAGAAAGACATCCATGGATTGACAATGAAGTAAAAAATGCAGCAGCAAAAAAGCGACGGTTACGACAAGAGTTTTTGAATATTAAAACAACGGATGCCCGGAGTAAGTATAGTTCCCAAAATAAAATTGTCAAAAACCTAATCATTCGTAAAAAACGAAAATACTATCAAAATAAACTAATGCTTGAGTCTAATTGTAAAACGAAAACTTTTTTCGAAACTTTTACGGAAATGAGTGGTAAAAGAAAAAATTCTAAATCTTTAAATCTATCTAACGGGGACGCTGAGCATTTTAACGAATACTTCGCATATATTGGCGCCAGACTTACACAGAGCAAAGCAAACTGCATGGAAAACAATGTTATACCTCAGCAATAATCGTTGTTTTTGAAAAAAAAGATTAAATTCAAGTCATTGAAGTCATCGAGAGTTTAAAAAATAATTATAGTACAGACTGCTATGATATCAACACTGTTCTCGTCAAGCATTTAAAAACTATACTAGCAGGCCCTTTGACTGAAATTTTTAATGACTGCCTAACCTCAGGAATTTATCCAAATTGTTTTAAAATTGCAAAAATTGTACCAATTTTCAAGGAGGGAGATATCGATGACCCCTCAGACTATAGACCAATTTCAATTCTTCCAGTTATGGGCAAAATTTTTGAGCGTATAATTTTTAAACGAGCACTATCATATGTAGACAAGCTTAAAATCATCCGAAACACTCAGTTTGGCTTCAGATCAAATAGAAGCACTGTTGACGCCATCCTTAAATTGGTGGAAGAAGTTTCAACATCGCTATCGAACAAAAAACTAACTGTTCAGAATACGTTTTTAGACCTAACAAAGGCTTTTGAAACAGTTGATCACTCTAATCTGTTATTAAAATTAGAACAAATGGGATTTAGAGGGTCTGTCTTAAATCTATTGGAACCTTACCTTGACAATCGCTATCAGTACATTGAAACTAACTCTTTTAAGACCGAACTTATACTCGTATCTTTTGGTGTACCTCAAGGATCTATCCTTGGCCAACTTTTGATCATATTATACATAAACGATCTACAAATAGCCACAAAAAACACAGGGTTACTTTTGTATGCTGATGACACTGTTCTGAATTTCTTAAACAACAAAGACTATGTTGAGATACTGTCGGAGCACGAAAACTGAAGAACGACCAGTAATTTTTTTTTACTGACACCCAAATAGAAAATGTTGAATGTTTTAAATATCTTGGAATTCTCCTTGACTGTAAATTGAATTTTCATCAGCATATTGATAAGGTAAAGAACAAAATTTTGCATTTCTGTGGAGTGTTTTTTCAATTGAGAAAGTTTCTAATTGGACGAAATTTAATATTTCCGTATAAAAGTTACTTGCAACCAATCATCCAATAAGGAGTTTTAGTTTATGCAAATACCAACAAAACCAAACTGTTAGAACTGGAAATGAAAATCAGAAAGCTAATCAGAATAGTTTTTATAAACACAGGATGGATTCAATCACTGAAATAATGCATGATAACAAAATTTATACCGTAAGAGATTTTTTTGCTTACGATGTTCTGAAATTAACCGGAAAAATTATTCAAAAAGAGTGCCAAGTTGAAACCTTGAGATATTCTATTACTGAACAAGAATTGAACGTGATATTTACAAAGCGAAAAACAAATCAAAAGTTATCTATAAACAGAAATAAACTCAACAGAGGGTCGATTACACCTAAAATTAGAAAAATGTTCAACTTCGTAATAAATTTTTTCCCACCTGGGTCAATTTCTTGAAAGGGGCTTCTCGGTTTCAAATAAATAGTTTTATTCAGAAATTTTTGGATAATTACTTTCTAAGAAATACGATTTTACTGGGCATGCCTTGAGACTTTTTGTTGATCAATAAGTAGAACTTGTTTCTGTTGGTTTCTAAGTTATGGGTAGAAAATCTATTGCATTGGATCTAAGAATTTAAGTACTTTTTTTGTTCTCCGCTTAATGAGACACCTGAAAACGGGCCTTGTGGGCTTAATGGTGTTCTCCCAAATGATTCTAATTTGCATTTATAAGTTTTTATAAATAACTTTCTAACTAGATATCGTTTGGAAACAATTTATTATTATTATTAGCTTTTATATCAATTACTTTCCAGTTTTTTCGAGTATAATCTTTCATTTGATTGTGATCATGTTAAGAATTATGTTTTATTGACTCCTTTTTCCTTTAAATCAATCGTGTTATTTGAATATACGTTTTTCTTTTTTGACATATTTTTTATTAGCCAGCCCCCCATTTAACTATCCAACAATAAATTCTTACTCTACTGTCTCCTGTAATTAGTAGCAAAAAGCCGAACAGACAGAAAATTTTAAAAAGAGCAATCTGCTAAATTTGAGCATTATTTATTTGCTAATTTGAAATTTTAGGTGGCCCTAAATCATATTTTCTGTCAGAAAAAATTAGCTTTTGCATGCAAAACGTTTGTGAAATAGGTCATTTGCTCTTTCAAATTAAATCTGATGGTTCCAATTTTTTGCAGTGTTCCAGATTCTTTTCCAGTACCCCCCTTTGATTTTTTCGGAAATTTAATATATAAAACTTATTTAAAATGTTAATTTGTGTGAACAGGTGAACAAATTTTCACATTTCGAACATATAAAATGCCCTGTGAAAAATTTTTGAACAGCTTTATTTTGAAAGTTCACGAGGGGGGTGGGAAACTGGAAAAGAGCCGTTTTCTATATCCCCACTTCACCACACAGAATTTACATCACAATCGATGATTTTTGAACAATTTTTCAGTCGCTTATCCTTGAATTATGAAAAACATTACATTATGATATTCATTATGATAATCTTAACAAGGCCAAACTGTATACTTTGTGAATTTTCTTTTTTTCTTTTTTCTAGTGTTTCTTTGGATAGTGTCGACAATTGGTTATAGACTTAATTCTGGGATCCAGTGACATGCACCCACCAAATTGTGCGCACATCCAGTGCACAATTTGGCCTACAGATAAAATATCAATAATTTAATATAATGCAGGAAAATCAAGTGCAGTTTTATTACTCTAAACGCATTAGTTTGTTCTACGCATTAGTCTAAATTATTAGTTTGTTCACTATGGTATTTTAAAGAGTTCAGAACTGTAATTCGATCTACCGACGTCGACGGTGCCGCGGTCGAAATCTTGGTCCGCCATTCACTGAAGCAGTGAACTTTAATCATAACATATCCTGGACAGGTCAAAACACGGGATTTTGACCCTGCGGTCCTTCAAAGTTATATGATTTTGACACTACTACGGGGTTTTGAATCTACGATTCTTCAAAAATGTCGGAAACGTTCAAAAGCCATTTATCGGCAAGTCAAAACCTCCACGTGCCAAAACATTTTTTTGTTCCGATCATTCGAAAATGGGGAGGAACTTTGAGTTCGGGTTTAGTTTTTCTTTTCTTTTTCTTTTTCTTCTTTTTTGTTTTCTCTGCAAAATCAGGTACTAAAGGCATTGAGCAAAATGAATCGAGTGATGAATGAATTGAGTCATATCAAAGCTCTTGCAGTCGTGATTAGAACGAAAAAATTCAAAAAGTCCCAGCGTCGAAAAAACGGTTTGAATATTTTTTGAGATTTAGTCTAGTTTTGAGCGATAACGAGATCGATTAACGACGGTTATACTGAAATTTAATTTAAAAAAAAAAACTTTTAGCCTTCTAGGAAACAAAATTGATTTTACAACAAAAAAAAATAAGTTTGGGTGCTTGACTTACCGCTTTTTTGACAAAATGCCTTTTTAAAAATTTAAAATTATTGTTCAAAAGTGTAGCAAAAAGAGTTTGATTTTTTTTTGTAAAATGTGGCAGCT